CTCGTGGTCTGAGTTACTTATGGCACCCGAACGGAGCTTCTCTTTGGCGTCGTTCATCATTAGATCCAATTCTTTCCTATAGTCCCTGTCCTGACCCCAAGACGGAAAGCCCGGCTCAACAACACTATTGGACATATGATGACCACCGGAGAGCACATTGTGTACATTTATATGACTGGTAATGTTTGGTCGCATTGAACTCATGGTCGTCACCACATTTGAATCCATGTGTGATATGTTAAGCATCTCCGGCTGCGCTAATATAGTGGGCGCCGGTATTGTTGTGGGAATTGGTGGTTGACTCGGGAGACCAGACGCGGACATTATGTTTGAAGACATGGAATTGATAGAGGACTGCATCGGAGGTAAAGCACCGCTTTGTTGAGAAATAAACGGTTTGCCAGCGTTTGGTGATCGGCTTCGAGGTCTGTGTGTATTGTTATGTCTTAATGCATAGGAAGGGCTCTGCTGTCGATTGAGCTGATGCTGAGGACTCTCTCGCATTCTTTCGTTGGGGCTTTGACTCCATCGATGGTTAGGACTTCGGATCTTCTGACTGATAGGACTCGGGCTACGGCTTCGATGGCTTCGACTTCTTTTTCGCTTTTTAATCTTCTTTCCGTTCGGACTATTCGGTCGAAGCATCGCTTCTTTTTCCTTCAATTTCCTCTCCTTTTCCTAAAATACAACAAAATTCAAAACAATTTCAATATTAAGATTAATATATTTATAAAAAACATCAATTAATAAACAAGTTATTGATTATCTCATCTAATCTTAAAACAAACCATTGATTGACATTTAAATATCGACGACTATTTCATGGATCAATTAGGAGTCAAAACAATAAATTTGATTTTATTTTTGTCACAATTGATAGCAAATAAAAAATAAACATTTAAATTGAAAACTATTAACAAAGTAGTGATAAGTAATGGAAGGGTTGGATGTATAACCTCTAGAGCACGTTTCTGTTCTTCGAGTTCTCGCTTCTGCTTCTGCACATCCAACTCCATCTTCTGCTTCTGCAGACTCAACAACTCGTTCTGCTTTTGGATCAACTGTTTGGCTATTTCTGCCTCCGGACCCGACGGCAGCGGCGATTGGAGGTGAGGGTCGTTGAAGAACTTGGGATTGATGTGCACCTGTTGTTGGCGAGCCGTGTGAACCGTCGAGGAGTTGGCCGATTTCACCACTGACTGCATCGCAGGTCTACTATTGTTGGATGCTTTGGGACCGGCGGTGGAGGGCGTCGGGTCGGGCTTTAGAGGGATGACAGGCCACGCGGGGTCTAACTTGTGGTGAATGCGGTGATCGATGGCGTAGAGCTTCTTCGCCGGGAATATCGAACTCCAGGTTTGCCTCAATTTATACAACGATAGCCGCGTCTTCTCATCCACTTTCTCGAAGACCTCGCAAAACGTGGAGACAATGTTTTGAGTAAATAGTTTGGTGTAAACATTGCCCACATTTTTGCAGATGGAGTCCAATAGGTAGAGAAGCGGTAACTTCTTGTCGGCGGCCACAGAATGCAGTCTCTGCTCAATACAAGTGACAATTTGTGGCGCTTTGGAGTCCTTGTAGTCTTCGGATAACATCGTCAGCATATTTATCAATGGCTTGGAATTGAATGACAAATCGTTGAGCGAAGACTTGTATTCATTGATGGGATCCGTTTCGTTATCCATCGCCACCGTCTTCGCGGACATCAATCGACGGACAGTTTCTTATGATTATCACTAATAATGTATTCAATTATTTACAAAAACTAATAAAACTCTTTTCGATGCAAAATAAATACAAATTAATGTTTGAAATGAAAACAAATGTTTAAAAATTGTTGAAAACAAATGAAATGAATGAATGAAACAAATACTCAATGACTGGAAACGTAAGCCATAACACCATTCACTCAATACACGTATAAACTGACAGACATTTCACACCCAATGCTCTTCTCGTCGTTTACAACAAAACAATAACAAAATTGAATACAATTTACAAATCATTTATTGATAAATATTTAAATTAAATAACAATTGAAATGTTTAATTTATTTTTTGTATAATTATAGCGCAAATGACAATAACAATAGCAATATAGCAAAGTTGTGAAGAGGTTAGTTATGTGGTAAGGAACGTAATGTGCGCGTGAGGCAAGTGTGTAATGCAACACATATAACAGTCACACACTTTTGGCCCCCAATAGGCCTATTGTGATCACCACTTATTCATCCGACGTTTAGTTGGCGTTAATTTTTGTTACAATTAGTTAGTAAATAGAGTTTAGTTTTTTTACAATTAAGATGTTATACATTTTTGTTATTTTTAAATAGAATTAAAATTAAAAATTTGTTTGAATTAAAAACATAAACAAAATGAATATACAGAATATTCTTACGGCTCAACACTAGTTTAAATATGGCTTTGTTCCCACAAATTGTCAAATACTTGGGTACTATATTAATATTATACGATATAGTTGTGCCACATTTTAATACAATATTCACGTAATTTATAAGTTTTTAAATTTTAATCAATTTACATTATAATAATCATAATTATACTCTTGAATCGAGTCTTGATTCTCTTAAAGCATTCATTTAACGTTATATAAAAAGTATACAAAAAAACTATACAAAACTTCTTACAACTTGTGTATAAACTTCTAAAAATAAATAATATTATTGTCTTAATATCTACAAAACGTTTTTCAACGAATTGAAGAACTCGATTAAATCACTTCTCTTTCTAAAAGTGATGTGCATAACGTAATATATACGTAGAATATTCTGTATATAGCATTTGTCCAAATCTGGTTATAACATTAGTATTGCATAAGTATTGCATTTCTGATAAAATGCTATTGCAATGTAAGGCCTGGGATTCGTAAAAGTTGCGTTGAAAAATGTAGACAATATTGTATCATACAGGGATGGCCAAGCTTTGTTCCCATAGCTGGGCGCTGACATTATGATAACAAGTATGAGTTGCTGAGCAACACAATACAACTTTTGTTGAAAACAGTTGAAGACAGCAAAAGTTGTATTGTGTTGCTCAGCAACTCACACATGTTATCATAATGTCAGCGCCCAGCTATGGGAACAAAGCTTGGCCATCCCTGTACAATTTGTATGGCATTATTGCTTTTACAGGAGAGGGGTATTTCGGTGTAGCTTATTGTAGTTGGCAATGGTATCTATAATTTTCCATTTAATGCTATTAATATTCCAACATCTTTGATCCCCAATTGTGTACTATCGGTGACAACCACTTATTCCCCCGACGTTTAATTGGCTTTTATTTTAGTTAATTCATTACAAATAATTAGTAAATTAAAGTTTTTTCCTATAAAAATTTTATATTTTTGTTATTTTTTAGAAAAATTAAGATTTACAGTATTTTTGTTACAAGTGTTTTGCGACGAGAAAAACAGTGTTAACTATAATTTTATGATAGATTTTTTTCTTTTAAATTGTTATCACAGAAAATAAATAAGAATTAAATTATATAAATATAATAATTAATAATAATTTGGTTCACAAATGATACAAATAAAAATATATAATACTATTTTTTTTGTGTGTTTCGCGTTAACGACGACTCTTTCTCTGTTTACTCATTACGTGAGAGTCAATCCTAAACATAATATGGATTAAAGTATTGGTTAAAATTCAACAAATTCACAATCAGTGTCATAGTTATGCCAAACAAACATATATTCAACTCGGGTTTACTCTTCAACGAACTTAATTCATAATCATTTTAATGCTATATTTTCTCATTAATACATTCATAGAATCTATACTTTGGCTATAATTTGATTCGTTTGTTATGACATAACTTAACGTAAAAGTCTCAGCGAATGTACAAATATATAGGATTTAGGAAACTATTCGTGAAATGATAGCAGAGTTGAACAACACATCAGAAGTTAACAAATCAAGTGTTAATTAGAGAATATTGTTAGCGTTTTCCTCGTCATAGCTGTTAGGAAATAGAGGATAACATTAAGATATTAGTAAAGTTTGAGTTAAGAAATTGTTAACAATTAGAAAAAGCAAACAATGAATCAATGATATGAAGCGTTTCAGACGAGTCCTGGAATGTGTGGNATTAAATAACAATTGAATACAAATTAAATAAAAAACATATTAATATCGCGTTTACTGTTATTGTTATCGTTATATCGTTTCAACACTTCTCCAATCAATACACCATTCCTTGCATTACACGCGCACTCCGTTCACACATTACGTCACGTCTACACCACTACACACTTTTGGCCCCCTATTGTGTCCATCACTGATCACCACTGATTCACCCGACGTTTAGTTGGCGTTTATTTTAGTTACAATTAGTTAGTAAATAGAGTTTAGTTTTTTTTCAATTAAGATGTTATATATTTTTGTTATTTTTAAAAATTGTTTGAATTAAAAACATAACCAAAATTAATAATATTATACAGAATATTCTTACGGCTCAACACTAGTTTAAATATTGCTTTGTTCCCACAAATTGTCAAACACTTGGTTAGTACGATATAGTAGTGTCAGATTTTAATACAATATTCACGTAACATTTTATAAGTTCATAAATTTTAATCAATTTGCATTATAATTATTATAATTATACTCTTGAATCGAGTCTTGATTCTCTTAAAGCATTCATTTAACGTTATATAAAAAGTATACAAAAAAACTATACAAAACTTCTTACAACTTGTGTATAAACTTCTGAAAATAGATATTATCTTAATATCTAAAATACGTTTTTCAACGAATTGAAGGACTCGAGTAAATCACTTCTCTTTCTGATAGTGATGTGCATAATATATACGCAGAATATTCTGTATAGGATTTGTCCAAATCTGGTTATAAGTATTGCATTTCTGATGAAATGCTATTGCAATGTAAGGCCTGGGATTCGTAAAAGTTGCGTTCAAAAATGTAGACAATATTGTATGGCATTGGTTGCAGGAGAGGTCATATATTGTACAGGATAGGGGTATTTAGGTGAAGCATATTGGTTGGCAATGGTATTGTATCTATAATTTTCCATTTACGGTAATGCTATTAATATTCCAACATTTTTGATGCCCAATTGTGTACTATCGGTGACAACCACTTATTCCCCAGACGTTTAATTGGCTTTTATTTTAGTTAATTAATTATAAATAATTAGTAAATTAAAGTTAGATTTTTTTTCCTATAAAAATTTTATATTTTTGTTATTTTTTAGAAAAATTAAGATTTACAGTATTTTTGTTACAAGTGTTTTGCGACGAGAAAAACAGTGTTAACTATAATTTTATGATAGATTTTGTTTTCTTTTAAATTGTTATCACAGAAAATAAATAAGAATTAAATTATATAAATATAATAATTAATAATAATTTGGTTCACAAATGATACAAATAAAAATATATAATACTATTTTTGTGTGTTTCGCGTTAACGACGACTCTTTCTCTGTTTACTCATTACGTGAGAGTCAATCCTAAACATAATATGGATTAAAGTATTGGTTAAAATTCAACAAATTCACAATCAGTGTCATAGTTATGCCAAACAAACATATATTCAACTCGGGTTTACTCTTCAACGAACTTAATTCAAATCATTTTAATGCTATATTTTCTCATTAATACATTCATAGAATCTATACTTTGGCTATAATTTGATTCGTTTGTTATGACATAACTTAACGTAAAAGTCTCAGCAAATGTACAAATATATAGGATTTAGGAAACTATTCGTGAAATGATAGCAGAGTTGAACAACACATCAGAAGTTAACAAATCAAGTGTTAATTAGAGAATATTGTTAGCGTTTTCCTCGTCATAGCTGTTAGGAAATAGAGGATAACATTAAGATATTAGTAAAGTTTGAGTTAAGAAATTGTTAACAATTAGAAAAAGCAAACAATGAATCAATGATATGAAGCGTTTCAGACGAGTCCTGGAATGTGTGGTCAATAAAATGCTTACATTTTAACGGCTTCTGGAATAGCGATGTGCTCTATGGGTAAGAGAGCACTCAATTCGGCTAAAGTCGCTACAAATTTCAATTTCTTTGAAAACTTAGAGCTATTTTAAAAGATTGAAAATCCATTTTAAGTATCTATAGAAGCGATAGGTGTATACAAGCAGTCAAATACCTAATGAATGGTTTACTCATAATAATCAGTGTCTTTAACCAGAAGGTCGGATGCACTAAATATAGTCCTTTCAAATTCTTCTTCAGTTTCCTATCCATCATATAATAGCACCGCTTAAGCCATCCAAACGTTGGCATATTATTGCCGAGAGTGGACAGACCCGCGTTGTGGAAGTATATGAGGATATAGTCGTCAGCAATCAGATTGTGGAGAGTCGTCAACACATACCTATCAATGGATAAAAGCGTTATTATTTTTCACTTAAAATATATCAACAAAATAAGCGCAAAGAAATGAAATCACATGAAGAGGTGATCCATAACGTAATTGTAGTCTTTTCGTGAGCGGTCGGGCAGATAACAGGCGGAGAATACTATGATAGCAGGACTGGCGCCTAATTTGAACAAATCATGTGTTGAGTAAATTAAACAACATTTTTAAATAACAAAACACGTGAACACAAACCCGACTGATGGCTGTTTCCAGTACTGGAGTGAAAGTATCCGCCGTGTGATATGACTTTCTTGTAGGGATCGATAACTTTCATATCGATTGGTTTGACCTCACCGTCGGGACCAATAGGACAGGACTGAGACCACGCTCTCGATTCGTCCATTTCTTGACGCGCAGAGAGCTCTACGATCGCTGCGGACGGCTCTCCTTCTCCACCATTAAATTCATCGCTTTTGAAGAATTCGCGATTTACTGGAATCTTCTTTTTAGTAGTCGATGGCCGCCGAACCAAACCTTTATAAACATTATTAAAAAAACAATCAATTTTACTAATTCTGACTAAAAAATATCACATTTAAGCATAAGATAACAGAGAGTAGAAGAGAAGTAAAGTATCAGAGCTTGAAGTGAATGATCAAATGTGATCACCAGTAGATTTAAATGACAGGTTTTTGTTTGTTTGCTTCGCTTTTCTAACCTTTACTTTCACGCTCTTCGTTGGCATTCAAATTATTGGCATTATTATCATTATTGGGTTCACTGGAAGGATAATCACTGGATGAGAGGGGATGGCTGTCAGGAAGAGCAATGCCGCCGACTCCAGGACTTAACTCATCCGATGAGTTAAGAATCTGTTGGATATTAATTCGTGGACTAATTTTCTTTCTCTGACTTTGTGTTAGAGAAGCATTGCGTTTAAAGGGAGTTATCTGATCCCTCTCTTCGTTCAATGATTGGCTTAAATCGGATTCAGAAGTAGGACTGGACTCATTCGGAACTGTTAACGATTGCACAGGAGTTTCACTTTTCTTCTCTTCCTTTTCTGTGACCTCACGTGTGTTTTCTTCATTGGTTTCTCCATTAGTTTTGATTGTATTTAATTCATTTGAAGCCATTTCTAATCAACAAATAATTAAAACTCATAAGAATTACATTAAAAATGTTAGTGATATGGAGTGCAAAATACCTGTTTTTAGTGTCTCTTCACTGGCAGAGTGTTTAAGAGTTGAATTGTTTTCTTCATTATGATTATCATTGTCGTGATTACCGGTATATATGATGGATTCGGGACCAAATGAATCAAAATCAAACTCCATTTCATTATTCATTCCGTTATTTAGAGTCCATTGGGTCTCCAAATCATTGCACTCCTTGTCGTTATCATTATTGGGATAATCGCCGACTAATTCGCCAACAAATGAGTCTTCAATATATGAGCCGTAGACTGATTCCGGATTATTTACTTTCGAAACATCAATATTTGGTATTTCAAGCTCTGATTCTTTATTCACTTCAGTTGTTTCTGTATTAAGTGTACCATTGGTTGCATCTGACAATCGTATGGGAAAACAAGAATTCATTAATAAATTGCTCAAAACGTCTAACCTTTTGCAGGAGAAGACGGAATTGAGTGTTCATTCAGATCCTAAACATTGATTAAAATGATTGCTTTAAATGTTAATAAGAATTTGGGGATCGAATCAAACGATTCAAACCTCAGTTCCCACAGAACTATATTGAGGCGATTCGAGAAAATCGACGGTTTCTGGTATATAATTGAGAACAAAGTCTGGGTCGACGTCTGCCGTCGAGAGCGCTTTCAGCAATTTTTTCCGATTAATCGGAGATTTGTTGCACTCTATATCTAATAGATATATTCCGATACACTTTATAGCAATTATAGCTTAAGATTCGTAAAAATTAATTTTATTCAATGGAAAATAAAAAACAAAAGGAAACAATTATATTATGAATAAATGACAACAACCCTTGAGATGAAGAGGTCTATCAAATACCTGTGTTATTGGATTCGTTGATGGATGAAATCAAAGGCAAAATTTGCTTTCGAGACGCTTTTACATTCTTCTGATCGTAAATTCTTAAATCATGGAATTCTGTGGTTAGAGTCAAACCGAGTTCATTGCTTTCGGACTCCAGCCTTGATACAATCTTTAAGAAATATTTGAATATTTAATTCAATTCCATATAAAAATACTTTAAAATATATTAAGATTAAAACCTTTTCCATAAGTGATGTTTTAGTGGTAAAAACGGCTAAATCACGACTTATTTTGTCAGGAATTCTGTTATCAATTCCTAACATAATGATGGCCTCAAACCGATTGTTGGCATTTGAAGTCATAACTCGTAAAATCTTACGATTACATTCCCAATCCATTTCCGACACCAACTTTCCACTGAGCGATGAAATGATAATTCTTGTGTTGGGAACTAATTTCTTGTCTTTAAGTAACAACTGCTCGAAAGTCATATCGTTTACGCAATTCCTGGCGTCGATCAACTGTTTATACCATTCGGAGCGAGTGATGGTTTTGTCTTCAATGATCGCTTCCAACTGTTGGACAGCGTTTACGTCTCGATCGCTGTATTTGTGAGCAGTTTCTGAAAAATTAATCGTATCTGAAATGAGACAAAAATCACATCAATTAAAAATAAACACATAATTAAAATAGTAATAGAAATCAAACCCAAAATAATGGTCCCAAAGAACATAAGAGCCAATTGTGTGTCGGCTTTCAAATCGCTTCGAAGAAAGCGTTCGGCGATTAGTGTAGAACAGGAACCGATCGACGGGTCGACAAACACTTTCGACGGATCACTTACGGGACTTCGGGTCGCATCGTATTTGTGATGATCTATTATCTCAATTATTTCTCCAATCCGTGCCATCTCTTCGTTCACGTTGTGATCGACTAATGTTATCAACACTTTCTCTGCGCGCAACCAATACATCACAACATATTGTTAATTATTTTCTGGACTGTATTACACATTCATTAATCATTACTTGTCTTAAGTATCTGGACATCGATCTCATCCCAACAGATGAGATCATCGCGACTCAAATGGACTGAGTTTTCAAACCAAAAAATCACTTCCGTTTTCAGTTGTAATTCATTTCGAGTTGTGTTCAAAACGGGAATAACTAATCGGTTATTGGACTCCACTTTCTATGGGATTATTAAACATATCGTAAGTTATCATAAGATTGTCACTTAAAGTGAAGTGAAATCCGGGTTTTAATAATACATTATATTCCGTGTGTTTAATGAATGCCAGACCGACGGCACTGACGGCTGAGTCCAGATCACAGCTTTCATTGCCCACCACTAACTCTATCGGTTCCGACCATTCACTCAATGTTACCTTCAATGCAATTAACAGACAATTAATACAACAAATTATACATACATTCAAAACCATAGGAAGTGTTATCTAAAACTCATACCAAATGTTTTCTGCAATTTTCCAAATAGTTATCCATTTGTGTTGTGAAATATCTGACGATTTGTTGCCAATCAATTCAATGCATCAATAAATTACACAAACATTTCGCTCACAACT